CGCTTTCGAAGACATGTGACAGGTTTGGAATATCCGACAGGGCAGGAGCTGCTATTGCTTCAGTAGTTTTGAAAACTACAGACACGGCTGCCCCAGTAATTGACAAAAACAAATTGCGCCGGGAGAGAAGCAAAACACGAAAAACCATAATATCTAAAGACAAACCCCAACAAATACCCGCATTATATTTTGATGGTCGAAAAGATAAAACTCTCATAATGACAAGAAAAGGAGAGAAATATTACAGAACGACGATACGGGAGGAGCATATTTCACTTATTAAGGAACCAGGCTCTATTTACTTGGGTCACGTTACACCAAGCTCGGGAACTTCTAAAGATATAGTAGAGGCAATTACGGACTACTTTTTAAATGAAAACATCCATGGGTGATTTACTGGCTATTGGATGCGATGGGACAAATGTAAACGTTGGAAACTATGGAGGTGTCATACGTTTAACAGAAAAACAATTAAAAAAGCCTCTGCAATGGATTGTTTGCTTGCTACATATGAACGAACTGCCACTGCGGCATTTATTCGAGAATATTGATGGCGCTACAACGGGACCGAATACTTTTGCGGGGAAAATCGGAAAACAGTTAGAAAACTGTGAAAAGAAACCCGTTGTAAAGTATCAGGCAATACCGTCGGAGTTACCACAATTGAAAGCCCAAGATCTCAGCACAGACCAGTCTTACCTGTACAGTATTACGTCTGCTGTCTCGACCGGCGTGCTTCCCGAAGATTTAGCAAACAAGTCACCTGGAAAGATGTCCCATGCTAGGTGGCTTACCCGGGCTAATCGGATTCTGCGGCTCTATATTTCGACAAAATCCCCGCCTAAAGAGTTGGTAATCTTAGCAACTTACGTTGTTAAGGTTTACGCTCCGACTTGGTTCTCTATCAAGACTCACCCCAGCTGTAAGGATGGAGCGCGACATCTGTATAAGCTCATTTCTGCTTCTAGATACCTCACAGCAGAGCTAAAAGCTGTAATAGATCCAGTAATTATACGGAATGGATATTTCGCTCATCCAGAGAACTTATTACTGGCAATGTTGACAGACTCGCAACAACATATTCGAGAGTTAGCCGCACGTCGTATCCTGAAAGCCCGTACCGTTCCTCAAACAAAATTAAGACTTTTTAAAGTTCCTGCCCTTAAATTAGATGCATCATTTTACGTCGACTTGATTTACTGGCAGAATAACATTACCCAGCCCCCCATTCTCGAGAATTTGAATGACGAAGACCTGCAGTTATTCATTTCACAGAGAGGGGAAGGTGAACTGCCTCTTCTACGCCTGCCATGTCATACGCAAGCCGTGGAACGATCAGTCAAGACAGTAACCCAAGCAGCAAATACATTATGTAGCAAAACAGCAAGAGAAGGCTTTATTAGAGCACAAATAGAGTCTCGCAAAAATATGTCAAAATTCGAGAGCAAACAAGATTTTAGGGTTAACTAAAAAAATAAGTAAATGTGTATTTTATTTTTTTACGCATTTCTTTGTAATAATAAACAAATATGTTCCTAAAGCGTGTGTTTTCAATTTAAAAAATATTTTTTTAACATAATTTACATTGTATTTAGTACTTAGCTTAAAGTCAAATTTTCTTAATTTTACTTAATTTCAAAATCAATCCGGAGGCTAAAGATGATATCCAATCATTCTGATTTTTTGCATGTGCAATAAGTACATAATAAGGCACCTTTTTTGTGCTATTACGTAAAAAGAAAGGAACTTTTTTTTTCTTCATACATTGGTGGCCCACCCTGTACAGCTGGGTCTAGCCATTGCTCGTTGATTATGGTTAATATTATTATTATTTTATATTTATCAATCATATCTAATCAATTAAATAGGCGATACATTAAATGTAGGTGTGGCCGTGGAAGGAAAAGGGGAAATCTCCCGCCGGGCAAGGTGTTCTGCCCGGGGAGCGGCCAACACTCCGAGTGATAGTTCGGAGAAGTTCTATATATACTGTCTATGATTCGGAATGTTAATAGCGCGATTTAGGCTCGGTGTGTTTCGGTGTGCTAGTGGCGCGACGACAGCGCCGCTACATCACTCAGACCGGAGGTCGATAGTGCAGTCTCGTTGTCGACGAATGTGCAAGTGCCAGGAGATTGCCTTGTAGTCTGCGGTGAGTCGAGAAGAAGACAAGTAAATCTGCGAGAGTGCCGTGGAGCAGAGGCGAGCACTAAGGCTCAGAGCGGTGCCGAACACTGGCACAGAGAGTACCTTGAAGAAACAGGAAGCACTATTATTCCAGTGCTGCGATAGACCTTGTAAAGCTAGATGGCTTGCAGGATATGAAGACTGCAGATTATATCTGCTTGGGAGCGAATGGGTGGGGCATTTTATGACGATGATGAAACTTGAAGATTCCGAAGGTTGTTGGTTGCGTGTTCAGATCACGTCGGGGTCACCACTGTGGCCGTGGAAAGAAAAGGGGAGATCTCCCGCCGGGCAAGGTATTCTGCCCGGGGAGCGGCCAACACTCCGAGTGATGGTTCGGAGAAGTATATATAGTACTGTCTATGATTCGGAATGTTAATAGCGCGATTTAGGCTTCGGTGTGTTTCGGTGTGCTAGTCGAGCGAAGACAGCGCCGCTACATCACCCCCCTGCTCACCGAAGTCGAAGACTGAAGGCAAGTAATCTGCGAGAGTGCCGTGAAGCAGAGGCGAGCAGTAAGGCTCAGAGCCGTGCCGAACACTGTATAGCGCAGAGAGTAGCTTGAAGGAACAGGAAGCATTATTAGTCCAGTGCTGCGATGAACCTTGTAAAGCTAGCTAGCTTGCAGGATATGAAGATTGCAGACGATATCTGCTCGGTAGCGAATGGGTGGGGTATTTTATGACGATCATGAAGCTTGAAGTTTCCGAAGGTTGTTTGGTTGCGTGTTCAGATCACGTTGGGTGGTCACCACTGTGGCCGTGGAAGGAAAAGGGGAAATATCCCGCCGGGCAAGGTGTACTGCCCGGGGAGCGGCCAACATTCCGTGTGATAGTTCGGAGATGTTCTATATATACTGTTTATGATTCGGAATGTTGATAGCGTGATTTAGGCTTCGGTATATTTCGCTTGTGGCGCGACGACAGCGCCGCCACATCACCCCACATGCTCAGACCAGAGGTCGATAGTGCAGTCTCGTTGTCGACGAATGTGCAAGCGCCGGGAGATTGCCTTGTAGTCTGCGGTGAGTCGAGAAGAAGACAAGTAAATCTGCGAGATTGCCGTGAAGCAGAGGCGAGCATTAAGGCTCAGAGCCGTGCCGAACACTGTGGCGTAGAGAGTAGCTTGAAGGAACAGGAAGCATTATTATTCCAGTGCTGCGATGAACCTTGTAAAGCTAGATGGCTTGCAGGATATTAAGACTGCAGATGATATCTGCTCGGAAGCGAATGGGTGGGGTATTTTATGACGATGATGAAGCTTGAAGATTCCGAAGGTTGTTGGTTGCATGTTCAGATCACGTCGGGGTCACCACTGTGGCCTTGGTAGGAAAAGGGGAGATCTCCCGCCGGGCAAGGTGTTCTGACCCGGGAGCGGCCAACACTCCGAGTGATAGCTCGGAGAAGTTCTATATATACTGTCTATGATTCGGAATGTTAATAGCGCGATTTAGGCTTCGGTGTGTTTCGGTGTGCTAGTCGAGCGAAGACAGCGCCGCTACATAGGAAAGTTAAAAGTACCCTCAACCGATGAGTATTTATGCGTAAATATATTTATCAATCTTATCTAATCAATTAAATAGGCGATATATTAAATGTAGGAAAGTTAAAAGTACCCTCAACCTATGAGCATTTATGCGAAAACATATTTATCAATCTTATCTAATCAATTAAATAGGCGATATATTAAATGTAAGAAAGTTAAAAGTACCCTCAACCGATGTATATTTATGCGTAAATATACTTTATGTGAAAAAAGCGAAAGAGGTGTGTCAGAATATGTAAAATGGAAATACGTAGGCTCTACCTACTCTCTGGATGACAGTTGTATTTATGTATTTTAGATTTCTTACATTATTCGCCATACTAGACCAGAACTGAAGACTATTAATAACGGTAACGAGCAATTCCATTTTAGTTTTTAGTTGCGTCAACTCATCTACATTTTGATTTTTAATTGAGGTTAGATGTACTGTAGACGGATCGATTGTGTGCTTGTCCTTCTTACTTCTATAAAAAACTTCACTTCAAAATCACTTGGAAAGATTTATCCACTTAAGGAAGTTGTATGCTATGAATCCACCTTCCTAAAATTCTTTTTCTTTAAAACAATACTGGAATTTTTTTTTTGGTAATTTTAGCCGGTAAAGTTACCGAGATGAGGTTGCCAGGCTAACATTTGTAAATGTTGGTATAGTTGGAATTTCTTTTTACGTTTAAAAAGCAAACACAATATTTTTTACAAGCGTTAGAGCAGTATTTTATCCAACTGCGACGAGCCCAAAAAAATATAATATTGTGGCTGGTGTATCCTGAACTTCCGTAGAAGGTCCACCTAGAACTCTTCAAGCGCATGTTAGCAGATTTGGACATGGGGACCTCACGATGCCTTACTTCACCATCGTCTACCTGTTATATAAACACTAAAAATCCATCATATCATTTACACCAAACGTAGAATACTCAGATCCTCGATGGAGAGCAGCGTCCATAGCAGGGAATAGTGACACGGCTCTCGGCTCGACTCGACTGACGACTGGAGAGAGATCAGGCACAGGACCAACGAACCAATTTTACTCGCTTTTCGAGGCACAAAGTTGAAACATCGCTAACTTCCTAACTCTGGGATGATAATAAAAATTTCTTAACATGAAAACCCAATAACTTATTTCGGCCCGACCCGGACTTAGACCTTAGATCTCATGATCAGCAATGGCGTTTAAAATCATTACTCTACATATAATGTATTAGCATTATTTATACACAGCCACTGCATATATTACATAACAAACAATCAAGGATTTATTTTAACAGAGCGATGGCCATTTGCTTGGCCATGATGATGGGCCGCATGGGCTCTATGGTCGGCTCTAATCTCGTCGGCTATTTCCTTGAGGTCAATTGCGGCGTAAGCTTCTACCTATTTGGAGGGGTTATAGTCGGTAAATATAATTTTTTTATTAAATTATATAATACGTGAGGGTAATATGGTCACCCGGTTAATATGGTCACATTCTTATAACTCAAAAACTACAGCTTTGTTTGCATAGATGACTCTGTGATACGATAGCTCTTCATCAGTCAATCAAATACTAAAGGGTCAAAAGGGCGCTGCTGCATCGACGCCATTTTGACAGTTGACAGTACAGTAAATATTTTATTTTATTTTAGTATTTTGTAGTGTTGTTTGTTTTATTTTAGGTTGAGTTTTCGAAGTGTTCCTAATTATTGCAAGAGCAAAGTTATAGTATACAACTTGTATCCTTCTCCTCATAGTTGACCATCACAAACCCACTGGTATGTTTTTTTACCTTTTCAATAGTGCATCTTCTTAAATCAAAAAGAAAACTACCACCCCCCCTCTCGTGCCAAACAATTAATGGTTTCCTATATATGGCGGTATAACCATCTCGTTTAGACCAGATGTAAAATAATCCGGTGATGGGGAGCAGTATCTCTGTCTGTAAGCTTAATCCACGTACGTACGTGCATGCTCACGTAAGTTACAACGGTTGTCAACTCGCTCGCAAAGCTTAACTAAGGCCCAGTTTACATTTTGAGAAGAGACAAGTGCAAGTGGCAAGTGCAACTAACAAATAACAAGTGCTTAGTGCGTATTCTGTTCACACTTATCACTTGTCACTGCCTGTTCACACGCACAAAGCACATGTCATTTATCAATTGCATTTGCCACTCGCACTTGTCACTTCTCGTAATGTAAACCGAGCCTAAGGTAAATCCTTTATACGACGAAATAGGCCTATGTCAAGCTTGAAAACGTAATCGGCTACTCAACTATTATCGTAAAATACTCCTAACATAAGCATTTGAAGCTTACCAGGAGTGGTTACAGGGAATATTAATAATGTGAATAACAATGCTGTAGTAGAAGGTAATATGGTCATCCGGTTAATACGGTCACTTTCTTATAACTCAAAAACTACAGCCTTGTTTGTATAGATGGCTTTGTGATATTTTTTATAGAATAAGGCTGACAAACGAGCACACAGTCCACATGATAGTAAATGGATGCTGTGGCCTACAGACATCTATATTTATTCTCGATTAAGAATCAAAGATGCGTTGTCACCCCTGAGGACTAATATGGAATGCCTCGTTTCCAGTAAAAAAGTATCCGATTCTCTCCACTCACCATACGAAACACAGCACTACTATGCTGCTATTTTACACTGGTATTCTGTGAGAGCGTGGTCTTTCCCTGGTCGAGCCGACCCATTCGTGCTACAAACAACCAGCGTGGCTCTACTACGTTCAAACCTACGTTTGTCCCTTCATTTTTATGTATCACTTATCACAACTATATTATATACTACTATTATTTATGGTAAGTAATTAATACGTACGAAAACCGAGCTGCGGAATACGGAGTGGGGCATTTTTTTTATAGATTTTAGTGGTAAACGAGCACACAGTCCACCTGATGATAAGTGGATGTTTAGTGGATGTCTATATCCACGTTAATCCTCAACTAAGGATCAAAATGCAAATGCTTTGCCCTGAGCACTAATAAGGAATGCCTCGAATCCAGTAAAAAGGATCTCCGGTTCTCTATACTCACCATACCAAATACAGCAGCATTACGCTGCTTTTTACGTTGTAATAATACTATTATACCAAAAATATGCCTACAAAATAATTATATTTTATTTCACAGCCTGTGGCGTTCTTTGCTTAACTCTACCAAACAAAAAGAAGGTGACAGCCGAAAATCAAACAGTGCAGCCGACACAAAACGAAACTCACGAACCGGTTTGAATCGGTTCGAACCGCCCTCAGGAAACCATTTGCTTAAAATAATACTCGAATTTAAGACGACAGTATGAAGTTTTGAGAAGTTTGGTAAAGAAATTTTAAGTACGACAATTTAATAATTTTTTTTTAATTTTATTGACGGCATAGCTCTAAAGTTTGTTATGTAATTTAAATTTTTGTTAGAAAAAGTTGATTTAAACACCCAGAATTTTTTTATCAATATGTTTATCACTTAATTAGATTTCACATTATTAAAAATCACATTTTGTTAAATGTTAGTAAACAGTATATCGTTCCTACCCGTTCACTCTGAAATTATGAACTCAAAAAATTGTACTTATATACCTATGTATAAGTCTCTATGTATGTCATTTACTTCAATATTATACGCCCATAATTCCTAAACTATGCGTACTTTTAAGTATAGTTTAAAGTCGTGGGATTTTGAAAAATAATACTTATATCGATTTGCCTTTGCAGCTAGCACTGGCACATACCTTGCATTGACTATTATGACATCATCATAAGATACGGATATGGAGGACAATAAACTGTCAAAAACGTAGACCTAAAAAAAGGTATGATATTATATGGAAAAGGGGTGATATTTCGATCAGCCGCAATTCTTGGCCGAGTTGTTGCTCGGCAGTAGAGGAAAATATCGTTAGAAAAGCTATGAGTCTGAAATGAGGATAATATGCAAAGTCCGCCAAAACGCACTGGAGAAGAGCGGTGAACTATTCGCTCCATAGCCTTTTCATAAATGAAAAAGAGTGATTTGCATATTAGATGTATATAGTGGTAACTCTACTTTTTACGTAAAATGTATTAACTCTGGTATTAATGAATACATTCCAAACATAATTTGTTAATAAGATATAATGTATTTTAAGTTGTGTAAAATTTCCTTACTTTTATAACATGAAGAATATTGATAGAATTTATTGATAGAAGTTTACACATTCGCCAAACACCAAGTGTTCTTTCAACCTGTCACCTATATTAATGATCTATGTTTATGATCACGTGTCTGTTTTATTTTTTAGAACAATATAATAATATGCCTAATTTTGTTGTGTTTTATTTAAATAACTAAAACCTAAACCGTCGATTCTGCATTGTTTATTGAAATCTCCATTGTATATTATCATAACCAACAAATTACCATTTTCGCGTTTCATCGATTTTGTACGTATTATTATATAGTCTAGTTTAACATATAGTATAGTTTAACATGCACTTACTAAAACATTAATATTCGTAATACAATCATAGATAAACTTCACTTACCGTATCTTGAATTTTGAGATATTTTTTAACTTCCCGCTAAAAAAAAATTGAAAATTTTTAAAAATCGGGAAGTTATTGTTTTTACCCGAAAATCGAAATTGATCGAAAATTGAGTTTTCATCAAATCTTGACGTTTAGAGGTCACAGGAAGCTACCCTGACAATTTTTGGTGGTGTCTGTATGTATGTATGTGAGAAATCTCAAACATAAAAATTTTGAAAAACTGTTTTTTTTTTTCTTCAGAATAACTTTATAAAAGGCTTTGTCGATCGATTCCAAAAACATTATCAATAAAAAAATCAGCTTTTAACCTTGAAAAACAACTTCAATCGCCGTTGGTCCGGTCAAAATCGGTTGATTCGTAATCGTGAGATATCATTAAAGAAAAATGTTGAAAAAAATTGAGTTTTTTTTAATTACTCCGATATTTCGTATTCAACGTCATAATTTGATGAAATTTGGGGCGCTTTCAACTAGAAATTAGCGGTAAATTCCAGGTATGGCCTGCAGGGTCAAACAATTTTTTCCAAAGTAATTAATAATTGTATGGTGCGCTCCCCATGACATAAAAGAGGTCGAGGACAATTGTGACCTGATAACTGACGTCCGTGAGAGAGTATCTCGCATTGCCATCGCATACTAATCCCAAATATTAACGTCATGTTTGTATATTATTAAAATAGAATAATAAATTGTCGGTTTAGGTTCGATTTGATTACCACCTTAGACTACTCGACCTGGCAACATTTAATGCAAGCAAATCGAGGACTAACATGCAGATCCTAGAGCTGGAAGAAGAGATAAACAAATTATGCTGGTATTTTATAGGATTATCTTAGGTCTGAAGAAAGGTGGTGGACAATATAATCCCCGCATCCAGCAATTATCCTTATCTGTCCTAAGGAGATGTCGGATTTATCATCCAGAAATCTCTCGTTATCAACGGTGTAAACTTGTAAAGATTGAGAGTGTGTAGACAAAGGCTGCATACTACATGACCTTATACTCAGATTCACCAAAAATTACGCACTATGTTAGACACATCTCTATGAGAAAGTGGAGGAAATTAATAATGATATCTCTAGAACCATGCATTGTAATCGAATCCAATAGGATAAAGTCGGCATTGTACCTAATTTGTTTCCATTATTCACTAATATTGATAATTCACTCACATATTATAAAACATTTTAAAAATGTTTTCAAAGTAGTTACTCATAACTGAAAACCAAGCACTCGTTTCATGATGATCGTGAGTCAAGGAAAAGAGGAGGTAAGGAGTATATAGAGTTAGGATATTTATTATATTACGTGTTAGCGTCATGCTGCAGTGATATAAGTAGTATTGCAATTATAGTGCTTACTAGGCAGCTCCAATAAGAATATTAAATGAAAATAATATCTCTGCAGGAATGGGTCGGCTCGACCGGGGAAAAACGATGCTTTCACGGAATACCAGCATAAAATAGCAGCTTAACACTGCTGTGTTTTGTATGATAAGTGTAGGGAACCAGAGATCCTTTTTACTGGAAACGAGGTTTTCTATCTTAGTCCTCACGGGTGACAAAACAACTGCATTTTGATTCGTAACTGAGAATAGATATAGATATCTATGGACCACAGCAACCACTTACCATCAGCAGAGAATAAATAATAGTACAAGAACAGAAAGATTACTCTCTGATAGCAAACTTGCGAGTTTAAACCTAGTTACAACGTGGCTAATGTTCATAATACTTTGCACGCCGCCTCGGAAGCGACCTTTGTGAAATTAGCCTAGCGGATCTTGCATATACTGAACGATTTTTTAAGGTTGTTGACATTATACGCGAAAAAAATCGAAAATCGCGAAGCTGTTGCCGGGTTGCCAGGGTAAATAATAAATCTGTAACTATGGAGTAAGTAATTAGGTACTTAATTATCTAGATATCATCATCATCATCATTACAGCCCTTCACAAGTCCACTTCTGAACATGGGCCTCCCCCAAGTAATGCCACAAAGCACGGTCCTGAGCCACCGGCATTTTTTTTTATAGAAGAGGGGGCAAACGAGCATGCGGCTCACCTGATGTTAAGTGACCACGCCGCCCATGATCAACCGCAACACCAGGGGAATTGCAGGTGCGTTGCCGGCCCTTTAGAAAGGAGTACGCTCTTTTCTTGAAGGTCCCCAGGTCGTATCCATCGACTTCCTGTATGTCTTACCAGGTTGTCACTCCATCTAGTGGGGGGTTGCCCTACACCGCGCTTACCGGTCGAGGCTGCCACTCGAGAACCTTTCTTCCCCATCGGTTATCGGTTCTTCGAGCTATATGGCCGGCCCATTGCCACTTCAGCTTACTAATCCGTTGGGCTATGTCGGACGCTTTGGTTTTACTGCGGATATGCTCATTTCTTAGTCTACCACGCAGAGAAACTCCGAGCATAGCCCCTCTCCATAGCTCGCTGAGCGACCTTGAGCGTCCTCATACGACCAGCAGTGAAGGACCACGTCTCAGATCCGTAAGCCATAACTGGCAACAAACCCACTGGTTGTACAATCTAGTTTTCAGAGTTTGAAGTATTCCTGATGAGAAGATGTGTCGTAATTTCCCGAACGCTGCCCAGCCGAATTGAAGCCGTCGATTAACCTCTCGGTCGAAGTTGGACTTACCTAGTCGGACTATTTGTCCCAGGTAAACGTACTCGTCAACAACTTCGAGCATAGTACTCCCCACAACTAACGGCATAGGTGTGACATGGACATTAAACATTATCTTTGTTTTGTCTATGTTCATCTTAAGACCAATTCATTGGAAGACACCATTGAGGTCATTGAGCATAGTCCTTCAAATCCAAGGTCGTCAAATCGTCAAATCGAAGGTGAGTGATGTACTCGCCATTGATATTAATACCGTATCCTTTCCAGTCTAGTAACTTGAAAACATCTTCCAATGCAGCGGTGAAGAGTTTTGTGGATATAACGTCACCCTGTCTTACACCTCTGCAGTGGAATAGGTTTCAAACTCTGGTTCTGTACTCGGATAGCCATCGTAGCTCTACTGTACAAAAACACTTCAGCACTTCGATATACCGACAGTGAACTTGGCACCGCTGAAGGGACTGTAGCACTGCCCAAATTTCGACGAAATCAAAGGCTTTCTCATAGTCCACATACGCCAGGCAAAGTGGCAGATTGTACTCTTCGGTCTTCTGTACAATCTGCCGCAGGATATGTATGTGGTATATGTATGTGGCTTGTTCGGGAGGCTGAGCTGTTACGGATTTGTAATGACTCTTGAAAACAGCACGTAGACGCGGCTCAGAAGGGAAATCGGTCTGTAGTTCTTCAAGAGAGCGTTGTCGCCTTTCTTAAAGAACAAGACCACCGCACTTCTGCTCCACGCCTCCGGAGTAGTGCCACCATGGAAGACGGAATTGAAGAGCTTCTGAAGGACTTTAAGTTCCGCTGTAATTCCATCCTCGCCTGGGGCCCTGCCGTTTTTAAGGTGCTGGAGAGCCATTCTAATCTCGCTCAGATTGACGTCTGGGATATCATCGGAATAGTGTCGCATAAGACAGTAAGTCTTAAATGACCAGATTTAAAAAAAGTGCAAGAATTAAAATTCTTCTGAAGGACTTCGAGTATTGGTCTTCCACCCGCTTTCAGAAGCTCCACAGTATTTCCATCCTCGCCCGGAGAATTGCTGTATTTACGATGCTGGAGAGCCAT